CAAACTGGAAAAGTCTTCAAAAGACGGGAATACCAGACCACCTGACCTGCCTCTTCAGAAACCTGTGTGCAGGTCAAGAAGCAATAGTTAGAACTGGACATGAAACAACAGACTCGTTCAAAATAGGGAAAGGAGTACGACAAGGCTGTATATTGTCACGCTGCTTATTTAACTTATATGCAGAGTACATCATGTAAAATGCTGGGCTGGATAAAGCACAAGCTGGAATCAAGATTTCTGGGAGAGATACCGATAACCTCAGATATGCAGGTGATACTACCCTTATGGCAGAAAGTAAAGGAGAACTAAAGAGCCTCTTGATGAAAGTGAAAGAGAGTGAAAAAGCTGGCTTAAAACTTTCAGAAAACTAAGATCATGGCATCCGGTCCCATCACTTCATGGCAAGTAGATAGGGAAACAATGGAAACAGTGAGAGACTTTATTTTCTTGGGCTCCAAAATTACTGTGGATGATGACTGCAGCTATGAAATTAAAAGACACTTGCTCCTTGGAAGAAAAGCTATGACAAAGCTAGACAGCGTATTAAAAAGCAGAGACATTACTTTACTGACAAATGTTCGTCTAATCAAAGCTATGGTTTTTCCAGTGGTCATGTATGGATGAGAAAAAATGGTCCTGTATGGACCATAAAAAAAAAACGGAGCACTGAAGAATTGATGCTTTTGAACTGTGGGATTGGAGAAGACTCTTGAGAATCCCTTGGACAGCAAGATCAAACCAGTCAATCGTAAAGGAAATCAGTCCTGAAGATTCATTGGACAGATGACTATTCATTGGACTAATGCTAAAGCTGAAGCTCCAGTACTTTGACTATGTGATGCGAAAAACGATCTCAGTGGAAAAGACCCTGATTGAAGGCGGGAGGAGAAGGGGACGACAGAGGATGAGATGGTTAAATGGCGTCACCAACTCGATGGACATGAGTTTGAGCAAGGTCCTGGAGTTCGTGATGGGTGGGAAGCCTGGCATGCTGCAGTCCCTGGGCTCGCAGAGTCTGACACTATTGAATGACTGAACTGGACTGAATTCCCTATACCCATTTGGAAATTTGGAAACTTTTTAAATTGTTACTCTAGAAATAGCATTAATCTTTAATTTATATTAATACTTTCCCAGGAGTTGTAAGGCCTCCATTTACCTTTCCTAATTTTCATTCTATATAATTAAACCCCAGAAAAACCTTGCTTCATATAGTCAGTGCACATTTAGAAATGGCTGTACATCCATTTACAACATTCTTTTCTCTTTTATTTTTATAATAATTGGTATCATTTTCCATTTGTCAACCACTGTCTGGAATTTCCTTTATGTAGATTTGCAGGTGGCAGATTCTTTGCATATTTAAAAATGCCTGTATTGCACCTTCATTCATGAATGATTTTGTTGGTTATAGTATTGTAGCTTGACGTTTGCTTTCAGCACTTTTAAGATAACCTTCCCCTGTCCAGTTTTATAATTCTTCATTGTTAAGATGAGCATGATTTGAACAGTTACTCTTAGCTCTGTAAACTTAGTTCTTTCCGATAATTTCATTTATTTAACTGTTGGATTTGCGGAGGAATTTCAGTTATATATTGATAGAAATGTAAGAACTTATCTACAGAGGGAATGTCAGTTGATATCTTCACTGGTTTGATTTGCAGGTAGTTGGTATTACAAGAACTGTGTATTATTTCCTTAACAAATAATTGTCAGGAACTTCTTGAAGGAAGCAGCCAAGAGATACCAGAAATATGAACTCATCAAGGGATATTATCTAAAAGGAAAGAGTTCAAATTCCAGTAGTACAGTATTGTACTGTTTTTGAACTATTACAACAAATATAGGACTTGAGATAGTTATGTTTGTTCAGTGGGTCTAACTATGCTGTAATCCTTCGGAGAGTTTTTAGTAATATGTTGTTGCCTAGGCTCACTCCTAGGCAATTCCAAAATGTGTCCAGGATTAAGAACCACACCTTTAGTAGACCAGTGTGTTGAAGAATTTAATGAACTAGTATTGAACAGTAATTTTCAAATTATTGATATGTTCCTTTAAAATATCACAGTAGTACTTCCTGAAGGAGGCAGACTGGGCAACGTTAAGCCCTTCTTCAGCCACAGCAATTTGTTTTATATGCTTGTTGTTGTTCACTTGCTCAGTGGTGTCCAACTCTTTGCAACCACATGGACTGTGGCATGCCAGACAGGCTTCCCTGTCCTTCACTATCTCCCAGAGTTTGCTCAGACTCATGTCCATTGAGTCGATGATGCCATCCAGCCATCTCATCCTCTGTCGCCCCCTTCTCCTCCTGCCATCAATTTTTCCCAGCATCAGGGTCTTTCCTAGTGAGTCATTTCTGCATCAGTTTAGTTCAGTTCAGTTGCTCAGTCATGTCCGACTCTTTGTGACCCCATGGACTGCAGCACACCAGGCTTCCCTGTCCATCACCAACTCCCAGGGCTTGCTCAAACTCATGTCCATCTAGTCGGTAATGCCATCCAACCATCTCATCCTCTTTCATCCCCTTCTCCTCCCGCTTTCAGTCTTTTCTAGCATTAGTGTCTTTTCAAATGAGTCAGTTCTTTGCATCACGTGGCTGAAGTATTGGAGTTTCAGCTTCAGCATCAGTCCTTCCAATTAATATTCAGGGTTGATTTCCTTTAGGGTTGACTGGTTTGATCTCCTTGCTGTCCAAGGGACTCCAAAGAGTCTTCTCCAGCACCACAGTTCAAAAGCATCAATTCTTCCGTGTTCAGCCTTCTTTATGGTCCAAGTTTCACATGCGTACATGACTACAGGAAAAACCATAGCTTTGACTGTGCAGACCTTTGTCAGCAAAGTGATGTCTTTTCAAGGAGCTCTGTGTGTTTGTCATAGCCTTGTTACGAGTTCATTTATGGTTTATTTTGTTAAATGTGTATCCTTGATTTAAAAAATTTTTATTAACTTTAGCTCACCTGGCTGTGAGATGAGATGGTTGTTAGATTCTCCTTAGTTTTTTAGTTATATGACAGGCTAGATAACTTGAAAACTCTGTGGAATCAAAAGGTCCTTTTAAGTAAATATCATAGATTAGTTCGCAAGGAAGTAAAGAGAATTCCACTGGGCAAAAACAAGGAAGTCTGAAAATAATACCTGTTAGTTTGAACTGACTGTGGAGCTACTCTGAAAAAATTTGCCAATCTGGGTAATGTATTAATTAGCTTATTTTGCTTGACAAACCACCCCCGAGTTACTGACATAATTACCTATTTAGCTAGTAATTCTGTGGCTTAGTAATTTGAGCTGGGCTTCGTTGGGCAGTTCTCATCTTAGCTGAACTCAGTTAATCAGTTGATGATCTGGATAGGGGCTGGGGTAGTCTGTGGGGTCTTTAGCTGGGTCAGCTTATCTCTGCTCCAGATTGTATATTATCCTTCAAGCTAACCTTAAGTTATGCTCATAATAGTATAGCAGGGTTCCAAAAGAGAGGTAAAGAATGCAAAGCCACCTGTTAGGCTTAGGGTCACCTCATGCACTGTCATTTCTGCTTCATTCTGTTCAAAGCAAGCCATAGGCCAGAGACCAGTTTTAAGACATGGAGAAATAGATTCCTCATCTTTATGGGAACCCCTACAAAAGTCATATTGTAAGGGTAATGGGTATAGGGAACGGAATAACTTTGGCACTTTTTATAAGCAATATACCACAGATGGCAAGGAAATTTGGAATAGGAGGTAGGACCGAAGAAGTGGTAGAGGCAGTAGTGAGGCCTGTGAAACCGTCTCCTCCCAGTAAAGCCACCTCATGGGAAGAGTCCACAGTGAAGTATTCTCTTGCTAGTTTAAGGAGACTTTTCTGGCCTTGGCTTAGTTTCTTGTTTGGATCTTCCCTCAGAATTTTTAACCACAAGACTGTCCTAAAGTAGGCTTGGGACTTACCAGAATAGTCCTGAATTGATGTATATGTATTATGTTTCACAATGTATTAAGGGTTTTAAATGAAGTAACTGTCTGCATGATTTGAAAAGAAGAACTAGAAATGGGTAAAACATAGTCATTAAATTTTTAAATTCAGTGGATAGTGGAAACAGCAGGTTGGACATACTGCTAAAGAGAAAAGTAATAATATGAAAAACAGATACAGGGAAGTTAGTCACAAGGGATATGGATATTTAGGAGACGTTAAAAGACTGTTACAGAGTTGGGAAGATAAAACATTTGTCTAATATTATCAAGAAGAGCCTTGAATACATGGGAGAGAGACAGTATTTACAGAAATAACATAAGAATTTGCCAGACTTGATTGAATCCATGAAACTGAGGAACACAACACCTGAGCTGGATGATCCCCTTTAGCCCATTCCTAAATATATAGTGATGAAGCATCAGAGGGAGTTGGACAGATTCAGGATTAGTGGGTTTTCGCTAGCTTCAGTTTTGTAGTTTCTTAGGTTTGTAATTTGTTTGCTTCAACTCTGGTACCTTTAGAGAAATCTGAGTGTGTATACATAAGAATCAGTTCCTTTTGAAGAAAGGAAACATTGTCTTACCATACATGTTTATATATACCAGTCTTCTGCCTGGTTCTTACCCTAAAGCTTTTGAGTGATACCCACATGGTGTAGGCCCTTACAGACTACAGCTTTAAGCTAGAACCTGATCGAAAAGGTGATTGGGTGATTTCCTTGGACAGCAGTTAGATGCTGCCTCTAGTGCTGAATCATATAGTGTAAGAGATATCAGTATAGAGCAGGGCCTTTTTAAATTTGGACATTTGTGGGAATTTTCTGGACCATACTTAAGCAGTCTACCTGTGTGATACAGAATTCATTCAGTATAGAATAAGGCTCTTAATAAAATTTTGTACAGAAAACTTGAAAACTCTAATTTATTAACTTACTTTTGAAGAGAAAAATTATACCAGTAATGTTCACTGTGCTTTTCTAAATGTAAACTATTTTTATATTTACATGAAAGGTAACATTAAGTCTGAGGTTTTCTGTCATTTTACTCTAGGCAGCACACTTCTGCTTTTGTTCCTTCATCAGGACGAATTTATTCTTTTGGACTTGGTGGTAATGGACAGCTAGGAACTGGTTCAACAAGCAACAGGAAAAGTCCATTCACTGTGAAAGGAAATTGGTTTCCTTATAATGGGCAGTGTCCACCAGATTTTGGTAAGTTCTTTTAAAACTTTGCAGCACATGCTAAAACTGTTGTTTAAATGTTGCTCTTAAGAGATGAACTTTTCTACAATTTGAAATGAAAGAATTCCAAGATGCATTGTTTAGGGAAAATAGTAAGATACAGAATACTATATGCTGTGATTTAGTTTATTTATATTTGCTTGTATATGCATAAGGAAGCACAGGATAAATAAAATAATGAAAGTGGTTTCAGAGGGTGGAAACCAAATGGTGGTTAGAGACCAGTGGGAGGGAAATATTTTTGGTTTTTTATTTTTAATTACGGTAAAATACACTTAACAAAGTTTATGAACTTACCCATTTTTAAAGTGCTCAGTTCAGTAGTGTTAAGTACATTTACACCGTTGTGCAGCTACCTCCAGAGCTTGTTGCATCTTGCAAAACTAAAACTCCTTGTTCATTAAACAATTCTCCATTCACTCTTCCCACTAGCTGGCAGTCATTCTGCATTCTGTCTCTCAGAATTTGACTTGATTCTACCTCATAAGGCTTCTTAGGTAGCTCACATGGTTCAGAATCTGCCTACAGTGCAGGAGACCTGGTTTGATTCCTGGGTTGGGAGGATCCCCTGGAGAAAGGAGTGGCAACCCACTCCAGTATTCTTGCCTGGAGAATCCCATGGACAAGAGGAGTCTGGCGGGCTATAGTCCATGGGGTCACAAAGAGTTGGACACGACTGAGCAACTAACTTTCAGTTTCCCCTCATAAGTGGAATCATGCAGTATTTGCCTTTTTGTGATTGGCTTATTTTATCAACTTACCGTTAATGTCCTTAAAGTTCATCCATGTTACAGAATGAATGTTAATAGTAAAGCTATTAACAGCATGTGTGTGTAGACTATATTTTGTTTATCTACTAATTGCTGATGGATATTTGGATTGTTTCTACCTTTCAACAGCTGTGAATAGTGCTATAAACATGGGGGTATAAATATCTCTTTAAGATCCTTCTTTCAGTTCTTTTGGGTATATGCGAGACTTTAACAATTACTATAACAGTCTTGGGTATGTATGAGGCTTTAATATATATAACCTTGTCTGCTTCTCTGAAATTTGAACATATGTATATATTATTTATTGAAAATATTAAACTTTAAAATTTGCTTTTATATCCCACTGTTTTAGCCAAATGTATAATTTATTTTCTGTTACTCTTTCAATAGATCTGGTTATCTCTTCATTGATATTAATTTACTACTAAAAAATTTGAAGTACTCAAATGCTGTTTTCTCATTCACTTCTTTGACATGCTGCAACCAAAATGTACTTTATAAAATATTTTCTTTACCATCCTGAACTATACCTCAGAAATTTTTTTTATTTATGTTATCTGTATTTGATTTTCTTTGGGATTTTTCTCTGAGCTGTGGGACTTGAGACTATTTAGTGATGAACCTGCTATGAAGATCAACATTTGAAAAGATCCATAACTTTTTAATATGAATTACCTTTGAAGATTTTTTTTTTTGTAGCTGAAAGGCTATCTCAGTTATATACTTATTTAACAAAGATCAGAATATGATACTGTTTTTTTCTTCTTTATGTTTGATTTTGTGTTAGAATATGGCTTTACTTTCTTCCAGTCATTCTTAGGTTTGGAACTTGCATTTATTTTAATAGTATCGTTCTTTTTCTTATGTCCGTAGGAACATGTTGTTATTTCATCATATCAGTTTCTTCCACAAGGCACCATTAATAACCTAAAAAAGAGATTTTTGTCATTTAAAGCAGCATGGATATTGCAAGGAATCATGTATTTCTGTTCATAAACTTTAGTCACCTATAGGTGCATTTTGTTGCCTTTAAAACTGCATACTTTGAGATTATTTGTATTAAAGTGGGAAAGGAAATAGAATTCTAAAGGTAGTCATTATTGCTCCTATTTAGCCTCATTAAAAAACTGTTTACGCACAGTAGCCAAAATGTATAAACAATTCATTTGTCTATCAACAGATGAATAGATAGATAAATATGGAATATGCATGTAATTGAGTATTAGTCATATAGAGGAATAAGATATTGGTACGTGCCACAGTATGGAAGAACCTTTAAAACATTATTATGCTAAGTGAAAGAATCCAGTCACAAAAGGACAAATATTATATGATCCCTCTTACATGAGGTACCTAGAACAAATTTATAGAGAACGAGAGAACAGTGGTTACCAGGTGCTTGAGAGAGGGGAGAATGAGGACTTCTTTAATGGGTACAAAGTTTCTGTTTGGGATAATAAAATATTCTGGAGATGAACAATGATAGTAGTTGCATAACACTGTGAATCTACTTAATGCCAGAAATTAACACTTTAAAATGGTTAAAACAGTCAAATTTTCTACTATGTGTATTCTACCACAATTTTATGGCTTATAATTACTTTGTACTGTACTAAAGCCGTGTAGGATAGAAATTAGTTAAATGTGAATTTTATTTACTCAGCTGCTCTAGGAGTCTGTGGCCCCTACCATAAATCACATTTTTAGCATAAACTATCTGATATGGTCTCAAGGCCACAAATAAACAAAGACACACTTAATAGGATATTCCCAAGACTTTGAGACTCTATCCTTGGAACTGGGCAAAGGGTAAGCCTTTCTTTAGAATCTGTATGCTCAGGTCAGTTGCTCAGTTGTGTCCGACTCTTTGCGACCCCACGAATCGCAGCACGCCAGGCCTCCCTGTCCATCACAAACTCCTGGAGTTTACTCAAACTCATGCCCATCGAGTTGGTGATGCCATCCAGCCATCTCATCCTCTGTCATCCCCTTCTCCTCCTGCCCCCAATCCCTCCCAGCATCAGGGTCTTTTCCAACGAGTCCATGAGGTGGCCAAAATATTGGAGTTTCAGCTTCAGCATCAGTCCTTCCAATGAACCCCCAGGACTAATCTCCTTTAGGATGGACTGGTTGGATCTCCTTGCAGTCCAAGGGACTCTCAAGAGTCTTCTCCAACACCACAGTTCAAAAGCATCAATTTTTCGGCGCTCAGCTTTCTTCACAGTCCAACTCTCAACATCCTTACATGACCACTGGAAAAACCATAGCCTTGACTAGGCGAATCTTTGTTGGCAAAGTAATGTCTCTGCTTTTTAATATGCTATCTAGGTTGGTCATAACTTTCCTTCCAAGGAGTAAGCATCTTTTAATTTCATGGCTGCAGTCACCATCTGCAGTGATTTTGGAGCCCCCCAAAATAAAGTCTGACACTGTTTCCACTGTCTCCCCATCTATTTCCCATGAGGTGATGGGACCAGATGCCATGATCTTAGTTTTCTGAATGTTGAGCTTTAAGCCAACTTTTTCACTCTCCTCTTTCACTTTGACCAAGAGGCTTTTAGCTCCTCTTCACTTTCTGCCATAAGGGTGGTGTCATCTGCATATCTGAGGTGATTGATATTTCTCCCAGCAATCTTCATTCCAGCTTGTGCTTCTTCCAGCCCAGCATTTCTCATGATGTACTCTGCATATAAGTTAAATAAGCAGGGTGACAATATACAGCCTTGACGTACTCCTTTTCCCATTTGGAACCAGTCTGTTGTTCCATGTCCAGTTCTAACTATTGCTTCCTGACCTGCACACAGATTTCTGAAGAGGCAGGTCAGGTGGTCTGGTATGCCCATCTCTTGAAGTATTTTCCACAGTTTATTGTGATCCACACAGTCAAAGGCTTTGGCGTAGTCAATAAAGCAGAAATAGATGTGTATGCTAGGGCGGCTATAATAAGATATCACAAGCTTGGTTGCTTGAGCAGTACGAATTTATTGATTCACAGTCCTCTCGCCTTGAAGTTCAAGATCAAGGTGTTGGCAGTGTTGCTTCCTTCTGAGGGCTGTAAGAGTTCCGTGTGTCTCTTAGCTTTTGGTGGTTTGCTGGCCGTCTTTGGTATTCCTTGGCTAGTAGTCTCTGCCTTCATTCTCTCTGTGTGCTTATGTGTGTCCAAATTTTGCCGTTTTATAAGGACACCAGTCGTTTTGTATTAGTGGACCACCCTACTCGATTATGACTTCAGCTTAAGTAATTATATTTGCAGTGACCCTATTTCTGAATAAGGTGACTTTCTGAAGCCTCTGGGAATTAGGACTTCAAACAAGAATTTGGGGAGAACACAGTTCTTCCCATGACAATGTCCCAGACCTGACAAAGTAATCTTTTACTGGGCCCGAAGCATCATAAGCATTGGCTCCATAAGTACAGCCAACTTTATTCCTTAAAATGACTTGTCGTATCTAATTCAATAGCTATCATTCTCAAATATGACATTTCATGTAAGCCCTTGGTTATATAATTGATTGTTCAACCCTTTATGAAAGAAGTACGAACTAGTGAAAAGGGGAACATACTTTTACTGAACCTATGCAGACAGCAGCATTACTATCGAAAGAAGGGAAACCTAGTATGTTTGAATACTCACTGAATTCTGGGGATCAGCAAGAATCAGATAAAATTTTTTAATTGACAGACTATATTTTGTTTCAGGTATAACAGATGATCACCACAGTAAGTTAAGTTAAACATCTGTCACCATAGTTACAATTTTTTTTTTCTTGTCATGAAACTAAGATTTAATCTCTTACCAAGTTTAAAATATGACTGGAAATTTGTACCTTTTGAGCCCCAACCAGGGGTGGCTGGGGGTAGGGGCAGACACAATGGATAAAGGGGCTGAAAAGATACAAATTTCCAGTCATATTTGAAACTTTCTAAGAGAATAAATCTTAACAGTTTCATAACAGTTTTGTAACTGGTGACAGATGTTAACTGGACTTACTGTGGTGATCATTTGCAATATATACAACCACTAATCTGTTCTCTGTATCCATGAACTTGTTTTCAGTTGGTGGTGGTTTGCTTTTTAGATGCCATGTGTAAGTAGGATTGTATAGTGTTTATTTTTCTGACTTATTTCACTTAGCATAATACCCTTGGGAATTTGTGTTGTCACAAATGGCAATATTTCCTTTTTTATGGCTAGTA